AGAGAATCATAATCGTACCCCCCGAAGAACCAAAATCTTCACCCACTTTTCATTATATCACTGTAAAATGAAATTGGTACTCTTTTGTATAGATAAAAACAATTTTCTTCGTATAAACTATTACTCAAAATTTATGTATATTCGTACGGAAAAGTGTCGAAAAAGAGGATTTTCGTAGTGGCTGTTACACAAATACCTCGATCCCAGTCATGTGGGTACCACTACCTCTATGCGATGGTATTTTAATAGATAAGCAAATTTATGTACCATCTCTTTCGAATATTAAGTACGAAATAATTTACTCACTATTAACATATCTGGGTTCTTAGTGGGCTCTGTCAAATGAGTGCTTCACTTATGGAAGTACCCCTTTTCTCCTATACAAAAGGGGAGTACATAATATACAATTGAGGGGTGGGTGGGAAAGGTATGAGGAAGATGTACCCTCGGCGGAAATTCATGGACGAGGAGGAGGGGCGGACAGGTGGCGGGATGGTGGGAGGACTGGATGTTGAAAGCAGAAGAAGGTGGTGAAGAGGAGAGAGAAGAAGAGAGCAGATTGAAACATGGGCACAATCTTAGAAGCATGCCAAGATCGTGAGCAAGGCGATCGCACTACACCCCTTCCCTCTGCTCCCGAACTCCTATTGCTGACCGGGATATTGTACAGGAGACACGCAGTACCAGCCTTGCAGCTTCAGCTGTAGAACTTGATGATTCTGAGAAGAAGATTGTCTCCTGCTGTAGCCTGAAATAGCTGGAGAGAGATCTGCATCTGTTATGTATGCGATTGGCGCAGATCCTCTGCGATCAACCTTGAGAGCATTGGCCAGTATTGATGTAGCTCCTCCTCAACAGTTTTTCATAGCGGTTAGGAAGAAGTATGCTTGAGAGAGGGATTAAGGAAGTTGAGACGTTTCATTGGTTGATGAGGTAAAGCGGGTCTGGGAGTTTGAGTGAAGGTGGGTACGTATTCGAGAGAGCACCGTTGTCGTGGTCTGCTGTGAGCTTGGAAAGTGGAATGCTAAGAAGAATCCTCGCTTTGACAGAACGCTAGATTGTCAAGGAACTGGATGATCTATTGAAATGAGTCGATGAAGGAAGTGTTTGGAAACTGGCTCTTTGTAGCCACGAGTTACGATCTTTCCCTGCTGAGATTGCATGAGATTGCGATGTTGGATATTTCACTGTTCATTATGTTGAGTAACTTTCATGCCTTTGTAACATGGACGTGCTTGATAGATTGAAACCTTCCGTATTCTGATCGCTTTCAGCAGGCTTGGCTGGCGCTGTGACAAAAGTCTGCAAGATTGACAGGATTATGATACCGCTGGCTCGTCGATTGCGAGAATCTGCTGTGTAATTTCTTGGCGATAGGGAATTTCAACATTGGAAGAAAGCTGCCAATACCAGTTGCCTCTCGCACAGACTAGATTGCGCAACTAAACAATTAGATTGCTACAAACTTGATCAGGACACGATGGAGTGGTACTGCCATTCTTATGTGTGTGTGTCCGCTAGAATTGAATTCTATTCTCTTCAGGTACGAGGCGATCCAGGATGCCGCCGAGGTACCAATGGGGACTCAAGATATGGAGCTTCTGCAAGGAATTGTTCCTGATACTGGAATCGACATTTTTGGTGACAGCCGTTTTGGATCAAATCAAATGCAGGGACCAATGTCACTTCAAGGACGATCGCAGAATTTCTCAAACCAAGGGAACTATGATTTGCCGCTTTATGGGGCTGGAGACCAAATGTCCAACCAGATTTCCACGTTGGGGGAATGGTTTCAGGAGGATCATCTTCCTTTGGTCAACCAGGTCAATTAATGACGGGTCAGAATAACTTCGTGCCAAATTCAATGCTTGGAATGCCAGATGGATCAGGTTTTCAGAATAATCAGTCACTACAGCAAAACGCATCAAGACTGTAAGGATTCATTTTCAAAGTTTGTTCCACTAAGCTATATGCAGAATGCCGCAAGCTGGTATGCAAGGTTTGACGACCGGCAACATTCAAGCGGGAATGCAGCCAAACATCCAGGTAGTGAGAGTGTGTCGTTCACCTGCATCGTCAAAGTTAGAACTTTGCACAGACTGGGCTGCACACTGGAATGCAAACTGGCTTTATGGGCGGTATCGGATCAGGGGTGGTTGCAAACAGAGCTCCTATGCAAATGCCACAGGGAGCAGTCAATCAAGGCGGTGAGACTTAATCACGTCGCCATGACGTGCATTAATTACTGATGTCTTGTGTTGTCACTCCAGGCATGAACGCTGGATTCGTGTCACAATCTCAAGCCACAAAGCGTGAAGCTCCTGATAACATTCCTGGTTCCTCAGAAGCATTGGATCTCCGAAATTTCTCATGCTTTCCAATTTCAGATGAGAAACCTGCTAAGAAAGCTCCCAAACGGTCACTCGCTGCAACTATAGAACGAATGGAAAACATAAGATTCTTGAAAGAAAGAGGTACAAAGCGATTCGTTTTCATCTCGTGTTTCTGATCTCTGATTTTGAAGGCGTGAGAAGACCAAGGAACTGATGTCTGAATTGCAAACTCTGATTCCTTCGGTCGAATCTGTGCAGGTTTCACACAAATTTGTGTTTCAGCATGTCGTTAATGGAAAATGTAGGAGAGTCTGACCATGAATACTGTGCTTGAAGAAGCTATTGAACATCTGAAAGAACAACAGAAAAATTCAACACAATTAATGGTATGTCTTGCTGTGTCAAGCCATGTCTTCTAATGCAGCGAAGTTGAGGCCGAAAGATGGAGATTCATCTGGTCCGGGAGCTGGCGGTACTTTCAAAGAAGTAGAGATATCCGCTTGATAACATGGAAATTGCAGGACTTGCGAAGGCTTTCGGTCCATCAGGATCTGGGACCAGAGACGGCTTCAATCTCATCCAAGGAAGCTCCGACGATTCCATGGGAGGCTTGGAAGCTGCAGTCGTTCCTTCGCAAAACCCAGCTGCTCAAACTCCAGCAGCCCTTGCAATGGGTATCCATACCCCTCCATTTCTCAATCTGAGTCCTGCTGACCTTGAAACAGAGAAGAAAAGTTCTTCTACGGCAGAACAACTGCAATTGGTTGGGGCTGTTTTCATTCAAGTGTATGTGGAGTTCTAACGATTCCCTTCAGGGCAGGATGCCAGATCAAGAATTCAAATATTTCCGTCTAGTACTTATGCAGGAGGCAATACCTTCTCAAATCCAGTTTTGACTATGCTAACCATCCGTTGTGTAAACTATAGACTCTATATGCACGGATGTTGGAAGGATGGGAACAGAAAATGGGAGTTGATCTTGTGCAAGACTCGCTCAGTCTCTTGTGTCTCGCCAGACAGGTTGCATACATGGAAAGTTCGTTTGTATTTTCTGACATCAATGTTCAAGGGTCTGTCACAGCAAGAGCTCGAAGATTTGTTGCAGGTCAGCGAACCTTTTCGCCTTGCATTGCATCAAGCATGACCACACAAGCAGATCAAAGAGAGGGGGCTTGAGACACAATGGATTGATTTAGCCGATGCTTTAAATGCGGATCTTGCTGTTAGAAGCCAGGTGATTTTGCAGATAAGATTCAGTTACATGCGATATCTAAATGAGCATGCAGGGACTTCTGGGCTTTGTGTATAGCGCGTTCAGGCTTGCTGTAGAGCGCAGATATCTCCGAAATCCTGAGGTTTTCTTTGGGATTGCTCTAGATAGCTGCTTACTTTTTTGAAACCACAGGATAGAAGGAAGATTCAGCTCAGATTGGCCGAATACTTCGAGAAAAAGCACGGATCAGATGCACAGAGAGCTGCGAACGAGCTGCCATATGGTGATTGAGTAGGATGGATGCAAAGGGTTGAAAACTGATAGAATTATAGCTTTGGAGAGTGTTGGAGAGTGGTCAAGACTGCGAGAATGCTTATCAAGCTCTTTGGACCTCCTTTATCAGCTATACAACGACAAGGATAAGGTATAATTGTTCATGTGCAGGAAGATTATGCTCAACGCGGATACTTTCAGGGCGATCTTTTGCGATTCTGGCGAAAAGGTGGTGATGTTGAAACTAGTGGATATGAAGCAGCGTCACAGGTATGCCTTACTGATTGATATCTTATTCTCCTTTGATGGTCGTTTTAGCTTTATGCACAACGTCTCAAGCGTTTTGAAGAAGAAGGAATGGCACCTCAGATCCTATGGCAAAGGTGAGCTCATACTTTCTCTTACCAGGAGGAACCTGCAGGGTGATTGAACTGTGCTATATAGCTGCCTCATCACTGCTCGCTTCCTTGGGGATGCCGGACAATTCAAAGAGGCAGAAAACATCCTTGGAAAGGTTGATTTGTTGCGCCATGAAGACCTCCCTTCTAACAGCAAGCAGGCTAGAGATCTTTCAAAGGAGCTCGGTGGAGGCGACAAGTTCGTGGCTGAAGTGTCTCTACGGTGTGCAGAGCTTCTCAACAAGTGGGCTGCTTCTAGCCCAGAATACAGGTGCTTGCTGTCCAGCCCATTCATGAAATATCTCACGAGATGCTTCTCCATGAACTGGCAGTCCGGAGATGATGGTGAGGAGTGCTTTCTACGCAAAGGAAGCGGCAGATTTGTTCGCTTACATGACGGACGACGCTTCAAAGGTGCTTGTTCATTACTGTTGTTCTTTAGAGGCTCTGATTCTTGCTCTAGGAGGACTATGGGACCTCTCTCTATTGGATGGGTTTGAATTTTGGGACTCTTTGCCGAATAGGCGGTATTGGCATTTATCAGTGATCGATTGGTCTGTGATCTATTTTCAACAGGAGGTGGAAGTTGGTCTGCACAAAGAGCACACGAGATAGCCGAGCAGGCTCTAGGAAAATGTTTTGCCGTTCGTCAGGAGATGGGTGCTTCTCAGGTTGAAACGATTTGCCGTCAGTGTATAGAGAATAGGCTTATAGTCTGCCTTACAGGGTAAGATCACGGAAGTTCTGTTCGGGCAGGGAGTCCTTGCTTTCTGCAAAGCGGAGGCTATGGCAAGCGGGCACATCAGCCCTTCCTCGCCGGAGAAAGCCGAGGTAAGACCTCGGCAGTTGGTGGACACCTTGGTAGAGCTCACATTTTCGCTTCAGGAGGAGACAAAGGAACTACAGGAGGAGGCACTGCAGATTTTCAATCAGTGCTACTCTCAATTTTCGGAGATATTTGCAGAGAACCATCTGGAGGCTATCAAGTGTATCACCATGATCGGTCTGGTGTGTCGAAGGCTAGAGAGAATTACGGACGCTCTTGAGTGGTGCCGCAAGGAGGTCAAAGTCAGAGAAGAGGTTGGGGCTTTTTGATCTTTTGTTGCAACCGATGAGCTCTGCTTCAGGTGCAAGGGGAGCTTCATCCTCGAACTCAACAAGCGCTTCGAGTGTACACAGAGCTGGTCTGCAGGCGTGGATGTTGCCTTGCATGTTTGACAAGCATGATAGGTCGAGAAGTGCCGCAACGGGGCAGGGAGCAACGGAACTTCAGGAAAAAGTGAGGTTTGAGATGCGCCTGCTCGCCCAGGCGATGTACATGGGAACTTTGCAACATCCGTACCTTGTGTTGACTACGAAAGCATTTTTTGTTGAAGTAATAATGGTAATAACGCGTGCGTGCATGCAAGGTTGGAGGTTCGTTGTGGAACATCTTGTCTTGTAAACTTGTACTTGGTGAATGAACCAAAGGCAAAACAAATTGCGAAAAGAATCCTGTGATGTCAATCAGAATAGCACTTACCAAGCCCTGACGACGTGAGCACGTCAAATGAACGTACCATGTGCTAGTGTAGAAAGGCAGGGTCCGCGTGCAGGGATAGAACATTCACACTGTGGTCATGCTCAAATATTCTTCCCTAGCCCCAAACATACATGCCATTTCAACTTCCTCTGCCAGCTGATTTGCCGTTGAATCTTCTGAAGCTCCAGCCTTGAATTTTGCAATATTCGTCACCTTTCACGATTCCCTCCTCCGTTTCTCGATCCGCGTCATCACGTCACGTCGTTTGATCGTCTAGTATTTCCGGATTATGTCTTTACATCGTTTTCTCTCCTCTTCCCCCTTTCCCCATCTTCCCCACTCTCGCTCTTGCCCTCTTGCTCTCTGCTTCGCCTCGCGCTCTTTCCACCATTCTGATGAAACTGAAACTAGTGCTATATAACCAGTCAAAGATGACTGAAAGGTTATGGATCTATGGTCTAGTGGTTATGACTCTGGACTTTGAATCCAGCAACCGGGGTTCGAATCCCCGTAGATCCTTTTTGCCTTCAACGGCCGCGGAGATTGCCGCGTGCCGCAGTCCTCGACTCAGTCTCCCGGAGTCCTGATTGTCCTCGTACTGATTTCCAACTTTAACTTCAGTGAGTAAAGCAGTGCACTGAGTGCCAGCCTGAGGCTCTCGGAGGCTCCGGCCTGAGGCCCTGCAGGCCTGGTCAGAGCCGGGCGGCGAACTTTTCACTACTTGAGCGCTGATGGTCTTGTGACGTGGCGAGTCAAGCGGCAGAGGCCTTGCGGCACATAAAATACCCGGCACTGTCACTGACTGGCCGCCCGGCGGCTCACAGCGATCATCGGACAGTGACGGGCCCATCGCTGAGTGAGTCGGATCGGATCACTGCGGCTGATCGGACACTGGCAGGCCACTGAAAGGCACTGAACAGCGGCAAAAGTGGCCGTGTAGGGAACTTCCGTGCCCCCTATCGGACCCGGCGTGAGTCACAGTTATCAATGATGCACAATTTGTGACAAGTTATGCCGGGTTGGTGGTGGGCGGCACTGCGGCAGCCTCGGACCGTACCGTCTCAGACTCCCGTCGCCGCGGCAGCGGCACCGGACCGCACTGACGGTCAGCGCATCGGTTGAAAGGCTTGAAAACTCAGTGAGGGCCACCCGGTGACCGGCCGCATCATGATAGTACGGTATGGAGGCCCGGCGGCCCGGACCGTCGGGCGGCGCGCGGCCGGTACGGCTGTAGTTGGAACGGGGGGGGGTGGGGGGGGGGGGGGGGGGCGGGGGGGGG